CCTTGTATATATGCCAAAAACTTGTGTAGTAGGAGGTTGTCACAATCATATATATTGCACAGATAAGAAAAGATATTTTTTTGAGCTGCCAAAATGACATAAGAGTCCAGAGAGGCGTGATAAGTCATACGTGGCTGACTGCCACTTAAATGTAAATGAGTAAATGAGTAAATGTAAATGGTACGCACTGGAGTCCATCAAAATTCTCCACTATTTGTTCTGATCATTTCGTGACAGGTAACTACTATTTTATAACTGCGTGTGTGTGTGCGTGCGCGCGTGCGTGCGTGTCACTGTGTGTGCGAGTGCGTGCGTCTGTGTGTGTGCGTGTGCGCGCGTGCGTGTTTGTGTGTCCTTGTGTGTGCGTGTGTGTGTGTGCGTGTGGGCGTGCGTGTGAGTGTGTCACTGTGTGTGCGAGTGCGTGTTTGTGTGTCACCGTGTGTGCGTGTACGTGTGCGTGTGCATGTGAGTGCGTGTGCGTGTTTGTGTTTGTGTGTGCGTGTGCGTGTGTGTGCGTGTGCCTGTGCGTGCGTGCGTGTTTGTGTGTCCTTGTGTGTGTCACTGCGTGTGCGTGCGTGCGTGTTTGTGTGTCCTTGTGTGTGCGTGTGCGTGTGCGTGTGCGTGTGTGCATGTGCGTGTGCATGTGAGTGTGTCACTGTGCGTGTGAGTGCGTGTGCGTGTGCGTGTGAGTGTGTCACTGTGCGTGTGAGTGCGTGTGCGTGTGCGTGTGAGTGTGTCACTGTGTGTGCGTGTGCGTGTGTGTGAGTGCGCATGTGTAATCTTGGACTTTGTTTTTGTTTCACGAGACCTGGGGTAATTTTATTCAACTAATGCAAAGCAAACAAATAAGAATAGCTTAAAATATTTTATATTTGCAGTGCAAATGTATCTTACATAATGTCATAATTATAGCTACAGAAAGGCTATATACTCGTAAGGCATATTAGAAGAAATTTCATGAAAAAAACTTATTAAAACTTCCAAACCAAGTGACGGATAATTCGTATCGTTATGCAGTAATCCTATGGGCGCCAGTGACGCGATCGTGTTGTTTTCACCGGCGTTCTGCTGGTGGTCACGTGACTACTGATCTGTGACGTAGCTCCGCCCGCACCTATACTATTACTAGCTATTAGTACTAATAGTAATACTATAATACTAATACTAGTGCTAGTAGTAGTAGTAGTGAGTAGTAGTACTACTACTACTAGTACTACTACTACTACTAGTACTAGTACCTAGTACTAGTGCTGAGAGGGTCTCTGTCCCTCAGGGTACTGCCGGAACATACCCTGGGTACAGTCCGGTATACCGGAACGTACCCTGGTACTATCTAATTAGACCAATAAATTGTGCCCTAAAAATTTTTATATTCTGATGTTATTTTAGGGCCCAATAGCCTTCCATAGACAAAACCTGTGAATGTTGTCGTGCAAAATGCCTGACAACCTTTTCACTATTTACGGCCGTGTTACATGGAAAATCAAAGAAATACCTAAAGCCGTCGCTTTATTAACATCTTACCTACATTACAAAACACTTGGCACTTGTCAGGCAGTATTCGCCTCTCTAATCACGTTTATTTTATTAAAACATCACGACATAAACATCACGCAAACTTCGCTACAAACAAAACTGGCAATCTTGCATTGAACCGCATTTCTCACCGGCCAATGAAATCATCGCTGTCCGGGGCGGTTTGTATCGAAGTTTGCGTGATTTTTATGTCGTGATGTTTTAATAAAATAAACGTGATTAAAGAGGAGAATACTGCATGACAAGTGTTTTGTCTATGGAAGGCTATTGGGCCCTAAAATAACATCAGAATATAAAATTTTTTAGGGCACAATTTATTGGTCTACTATCTAATCTGCCGGACCGTACCTCGCCTACTCCACTAACGAGTCTAGGGAGTCACGTAGGTTACGGTCCGGTGTACCGGAACGTACCCTGGTACTATCTAATATGCCGGACCGTACCTCGCCTACTCCACTAACGAGTCTAGGGAGACGCCTACTCCCTAACCCTATCCCTATCCCTAACCCTAACCATATCAAATAGTTACCAGGGTACGTTCCGGCAGTACCCTGGGGGACATAGACCCTATGAGCAGTACTAGTAGTACTACTAGTACTAGTAGTAGTACTACTAGTACTAGTCAATAATACTAATAGTACTACTAACTACTAGTAGTACTAGTACTAGTAGTAGTTACTAGTAGTACTAGTAGTACTACTACTACTACTAGTAGTAGTTACTAGTAGTACTAGTAGTAGTACTAGTAGTACTACTACTACTACTAGTAGTAGTAGTTACTAGTAGTACTAGTACTACTACTACTACTACTAGTAGTAGTACTACTAGAGCTGAGTAGTTGACTGCAGACTGCAGTGAAGGTTGACATTGGACTTTTGTTGACGTTGAAATTTTGTACAGTCAGTATTACAGTAGTACAGTACAGTCTAAACTACTACTACGTAACTAGTAGTAGTGGTAGCCGAAATGTGGGTACTGATGTGTGTTCTATGAGCTATGCATGTATTGTATGTACTACTTACACCAGGAACGCAGTAGGTCTATAGCCTATAGAGTATAGGTAAAACTTTCTATCTGCCACTCAGTCTCTTACAAGAACGACGTGGCTACATGACCGTCCAGGCCATCAATCCACAGTATAATTGACTGCTTTTATATTAGGTATTTTAATTTTATGTTGAGTTAAAGGCACAGAAACTTGGGATCAAGTATAGTTTGGAACCCCTGCAGAATGTTTTCGCATATGTGCTAAACTAATCTGTAGTGCTAAGCTAGGCTTGGGCCGAAACTTGGATAATTTTCTTTTTTCCTCCACGAGAGTGCCATAACTTGATAGCTACACTTTTCAGCTTCTCTCTTTCTCTCTCACCTTCTCCTGCCTTCACCCCTTTGTGTCTCTCCTGCTCTTATACTCACTCTCTCCCTCTTACTCATTCATTTGCTCACTTATTCTTTTCTCTCTTTCCTATCTCTCCCCCTACCTCTCTCTATCTCTCTCTCTCTCTCTCTTTCTCTCTCTTTCTCTCTCTATCTCTCTCACTCTCTCTCTCTGTCTCTCTCTCTCTCTCTCTTGCTCTCTCTCTCTCCCTCTCTCTCTCTCTCTCTCTCTCTCTCTCTTGCTCTCTCACTGTAAAAATGTTTGCAGCGATAAATATGTTCGCTGGTCGCTGCGCATCGGTGGTTTGGCTTGTGCAACCATCCATGCAGTTGCCACTGGCAAGTGACAGTAGGCTAGGTTCTATAAGCATCTTCTATGGCAACGGAAATGTATACAGTAATGTGGATTTGAATACAGCCCGAACGTTTACAACGTTAACGTTTAAGGGGAAAAAACAGTTAAAAGTTAAACCGAATGTTAAGCAATAAGCCCTTTCTTCGCTAAATAGCGAATACTGATTGGGGGGGGGGGGGCAAAAGTCCCGTGTCAGCGTTTCACGATGCTCTGACGCTAAATTATTTGCATTAGAATCAGGAGTCTATTCAATGATGATTCGAGAATATTGATCAATGGTATTCATCCATATATGCGCATAATATTGATTAATATAATCCAAATATCGAGTATGATCCATAAATCCAATGATATTGATGACTCTGGTTAGAATGGTGTGTGCGTTTGCCTGTGTTGTATGTGCGAGCTTGTTACTGGGAGAGATGGAGAGAGGGCAACGGGAACGCCGCATGTAAAAGGAATTAATGAGAAATTAGAAAGACCGCGCACGCACACACCCCTCTCTCGTCTCTCTCTCTCTCTCTCTCTCTCTCTCTCTCTCTCTCTCTCTCTCTCTCTCTCTCTCTCTCTCTCTCTATCTCTCTCTTTCCCTCTCTGACTATGCCGCTTCCATTATTATCTCTATCGCCTTTTCTCTCTGTAGTTCTCCCCACTTCTCTGTCGCTCTCTCGCTCTGATTGTCTATTTTGTAATTTTGCTCTCAGTCTCTGTATTACTGTCTAAGCCCCTCTCTCTCATGTTTTTCATGGAAGGAAATGAGATATGCTGTAAATGTCAAAGACATTGCAGAGCTACACATACATATAGCATATACATAGCGGGTATATGTACATGCTCATATATATTAAATTTGTTTTGCATTACTAATATATTATTCTGTTATCTGTCTGGTGCACGGGCAATATATACGGCAGCATGGTACTATACTACTACATGATTGGCTAATTTATATTCGTAAAATAGCATGTCAAAGAAATATACATAAAAAGTATTTTTAGTGAGCCTCAGCATCGGTGTTATGACGAAAGTCAGTAGGACTTAAAATATGAAAATTTAGGCGTTATTTAATAGCAATCTACAAGAAACTAAGCAATTTATGTTTTTACCAGAGTGAACATTTTTCGGGGAATTGCCCACAAAGTAAAACCAAATAGCACACAATATTGGTGCATATACGTGTAATAATTATTCTAGCTAGGAATATCTGTGTTCCCTACTACCCAACTATCATGCTCATTGACAGGTTTCTATTTTGTTTCAGTCGATTCTTGGAGTCTTATTCTATGTCAGAAGTCCGAACCTTGTTGAAGACTTGCCGATTAAGGAAGAAGATTTTGAAGACTATGACAAGGTTATAGAAGCCTATCATACAAATGCATACAACTGCTGGATAGCTGCTGGATTGTACGTAGTCACATTGGCCTTCTCTGCTGTGCAATTCAAGTTGAACAACCAGGCAAGCTACACCGTGTAATACGCAGAAGCCTACATTTGAATACGGAACCCTCATCCCCCGCAATGATGAAGGCAAATTGTGATCAAACAAACACTATACCATTCTGCCCTTGGGGGCTAGGATGGATAACAATAATAAAATTCATAGTAGTTGTGGAATAATTCAACTTCAGTTAAAATAAAGACTATTCTGGTATTGTGATTAGGCAAAACACTGAACTTTATTGCTTATTGCTTGTGGTTTATTATGTTATTTTATGAATATAAGTATTTCTGTGTGATGCAATCTGCATAGAGTACTTAGACTAATTTGTGAAGGCTGACGTGTCACCATTTAAATCACAATTAACGTATATTTTCTTATTCATTAATGTCCTTTTTTTCCTGTATTCTATTCCATTATCCTCCATTCCCTAAAAAATGTCAAATACATTTTGGATAAAATTGTTATCCATCATGCAGTTTAGATTGCTGAGTGAAGGCTGGTAATGATGTGTATCACCTAGATGGATCTATGATGACATAGTCTATGATACCAGCAGTTGAAGATCAGGTTACAAAAATTTCGATGCCAAACTCTGTGCCCAAAAAGTCAGTTTATAACATGTGATTACAATCACCTAATTAATGACGTTTGGTGTCAACCATTTGGTGTTTTAGATAGAAACATTTCACCATGTTCAAACTTGTATGATCAAGCAATCAGTTGGCATAACAAATAATATGATTCTACTATCCCTGCACACTGTCACAGCTATTTATGTACAGGAGAATGTCATAAGAAAGTTTTGTTGCAAGCTCGCTAGCTAATAGTTGTGTTTCTGCATAACTGTATAAATTGAATTGTAATTGGCTAATTGCTACAAATTGAACCGGTCCTATTTAGAGTGGGATAATATTTTCGTGAGAATATAATAAGTGTTTATTTGTGTTCGGTACTACATTAATTAATCTATGTATCTCTCCAATATCATAGAATGCAGGCCATTGGTCTTGTGTTATTGTTTCGCCCAGAGAGGGCATAGCAATGACGTTAAAATGTATTGCCTCGGTCATATGACATGTTGTATTGGTCACTAGTATTGTTGTGTAGAAACCGTGACCGTGACTTTGACATTTCTGTTCACTGGCTGAGTGTTTGACAAGGTTTCATATGAACAAAATTGATTCTTCAAATGAATTGAGTGTTGGTAAATAGTATAGACTTTAGGGGTATGTATTTCTGGATACTTTCTTTTACATTTTAACAATTTGTAATGGTCACTTTTACAGTGTTCAGTCAATACTAAACATATTGACATCCATGTACATAGTCTTAGATGTCTGTGTTAGGTGTAAAATAATGAATATCTAAAGTGTTTTGTTACATAATATAATATGAAGTCAATTATATAGTTTTCTTTTGTTATGACATTAATAAGAATAAATTAACAAGGCAGTTATTAATGTAATCAGGTGTGTTCTTTCTTTAGACATGTGGTAGTGTTTGATTATTATAGTATATTGTAAATTTGGTGTAAATATGGCAATTTCTGAGGGTTAATGTCTTCAGTTAACTGTAAATGTTTGCCAGCGATAATATTTCGCGGTCGTGGCATGGTGGTGGCTTGTGCAACCATCCATGCAGTTGCCACATGGCAAGTGACAGTAGCTAGTTCTATAAGCATCTTCTATGCAACGGAAATGTGATACAGTAATGTGGATTGTGAATACAGCGAACGTTTTACAACGTTAACGTTTAAGGGGAAAAAAGTTTAAAGTTAACCGAATGTTAAGCAATAAGCTTCTTCGCTAAATAGCGGAATACTGTTGGGGGGGGGGGGCAAAAGTCCCGTGTCAGCGTTTCACGATGCTCTGATCGCTAAAGTTATTTAGCATAGAATCAGGAGTCTATCAATGATAGACTCCTGATAATATTGATCCAATGATTCATCCATATATCGATAATATTGATAATATAATCCAAATATCGATGATATTGATCCATAAATCCAATGATATTGATAGACTCTTGGTAGAATGGTGTGCGTTTGCCTGTGTGTATGTGCGAGCTTGTGTACTTGGGAGAGATGGAGAGAGGGCAAGGGAAACGCGCATGTAAAAGAGAATTAATGAGAAATAGAAAGAGCGCACGCACACACCCCCCTCTCTCTCTCTCTCTCTCTCTCTCTCTCTCTCTCTCTCTCCCTTTCTCTCTCCCTTTC